ATGATAAGATATCAATTTCAATAAATATATATTTTAAGTAATTTCCTGGATAAGACATTGTATTTCGGATTAACCAATGACAAAAATTCATTTTCTGTTCCATCAAACGAGATTCGACTCTTAAGTCAGCTCTTCCCAAAGAAGAACTTCTAATTAGTACGTAAAAAGCACGTCCACCAACATGAAGTTAAAAATAAGTTGAGTAAATAAATATAGAAAAATCTAAAAAAGAAAATTTAATTATAAAAAAATGTGGACGTGTTGGGGTATCATTGAGTAAACGCTATGTTGTCTTAATTTCTGTCTGCCACAATCATAGCATTCTCAAATCTGAGGTGAAGATACCCAACTTGTAACAGCACGTATTGGCTTCAGACACTGTTGCATTTCTAGTGTTACACAAATGTGAGACCGAGACGAGTCTTGGTCTTGCAAACTCAGTCTTGATCATGGTCTTGGTCTTGCGCAAGAGTCTCGCAACAGTCTTGCAGTTACTTATTAGCTTATTACTGTAGAGATATTTCTGTAAATGTTAAGATAGGAGAAACCTATCTAAGCCCTAATGAAAAGTTAGAGGGATTAAATGCAAAAGTGTATGCACACAGTAACTATGTGTGTGTTATACCAATTATTTATACATAATAATTAAGATTGTCAAGTAATAGTAACTATTTTGCCTTAATTTTTATTCAAAAAATCAATTTTTTTTACCAGTTCTGGCCTTGGTCTTGCAACAGTTGGCGGCCCTTTGCAAGACCAAGACCTATTTTGGGCCTATGCATTTTTACTGCAATTTTCCTTTAATTGAGTAAGTGTCCTCAGTTTATTTTCATGAAATTTCTATTTAAGTTACGCTATAAGAAATGGTCAATAGGAGTCAAGTCTGGGCTGTTTTTTTTTTTTTTTCAGACTGTTACCTCTTAGTGAAATATAGGAGAATAATTGCTTTAATGCTTGATCGAAAAGATTTGGTGTATGATAAGAGCTAACATCTTGCTGGAACTAAATTCTCGAATGGAAGCCATAAAACTGAAGCAAAGATGAAGATAACAATTTTGATTTCAGGTGAGAACTCGTTCAATCGTTTCATCGAGTCTGACAGCATCTGGAGGACTAGTATTTTAAGATTTAGCGGTTGATTCTTTTGACTCAAACATTTTTAACAATTTCAGAATGACGTACGCATAGGATGAAAATTCGAGCTTGAAAATTATTACGATAAAAACGTTTATTTGTGATGATAGTGTGATTGTTTTTGTAATACGCCCGGATATAAAAATAAACTTAACTAGTTAATCGCTACTAAAATTCACAAACTATGCCTTGTAGTTAAGTCATTACACATCGCGCATTTCTTAATATTTCGAAAAACAAAACGGCACTCTCTTTCGTGACCACCGTTATGACCGTCGGTCAAGGTACCGATCTTTCTTATCAAGTACTAAATCCAAAATCCTTCATGGGTTCAGAGAATGTATCCCTAACAAATAAGATTTTTTTAAATAATAACACATAAAACTAACTCGTATTGAGAGGACTGCCCCCTTCCTAGTTACGCATTTGCCTGGTAAATGTTTTTACCACACTTATATTTAATAGGTATTACATAATGATTGCCTGGCAATATCTCAAACTGCAGCGAAATCTATGTTGTTCTCCTATCTAACTAAATTGTTTGGATTAGAACAATGCGTCTAGTATTTTAGACAATGCTTTTAAATGAACGAACTTCAATTTTTAGATGATTATCGCTGCTCGTTCCATTTATTGCAATCCTTTATATAATATTAGCTTTACCCGGCCACGCACTGCTGTGGCTTAGCCTGGCAAAATGAAGAAGAAAGAAAATAGAAAGCACATATGAGTAGATTAGTAGCAAAGGACATCTGTCATTTTTAAAAAGTCGTGAAACCAAATTTGTCTGTAAAATGGCTTCAATTGAAACTAATTCGAAATTTTTTTTTCTCATGATTCAAATTGAACATTCATAATCATCTGATTAAATACGCCGTCATTCATAATCATCAGAAACAGTCTGAGTTGAACTTATAAAACTAAATTAAAAAATTAATTTAAAAAACGTATAATAGTATTGACCTACATAAGGAGAATCATTTAAATTCTTCAAATGATAATTTCAATTACTGTAGCAATTATAAAATTTTCGAATAATCAATAAAAAAAAAATAAAAAAATGCTTGCCGACGTTCGGTAGTGAGGAAGCAAAAGGAAACGGCCTTTTCTGAAGAGAAAGCAGTAAATGTTTAAAACTCAATAACTCTGCAACGAACCGTCCTATTTCGATGATTTTTTTTTATTTTGTCAGCAATTCAGAAATCTTTCATATAAATATAGGCATTAAAAGGGTTTCAATGGGAAGACTTTAGCCAAGTTTCGTTAAAATCGGTTAAGCCGTTTTGGCGCTACAGTTTATAGCGACACATTTTTTGCGGCTTTGAACAGAAAAACATTTACATTTTTATTTTTTTTACATATATAAAATTATCGTAAGACAGAAGTACTATGCCAGAAACCTTCCCAGGAGTGTACAGAACAACTTCCCAAAGTTTCATGGCGATCGGTTGAATAGTTTAGTAATGCACTAAGGACAAACAGACGGACAGACAGACATACATTCATTTTTATATATATAGATTTATATATATATATATATATATATATATATATAGATATATAATTAATAACTGATGAGTTTTCATAGAGAATTCCTCACTTATCTTTCTCCTTGATGTTTTACGTTTTTATTTAATACTATTTTATGATCTCTATAGTATTATATATTGATCCCCCGACCGCCTTCTTCTCAATTTGTTGATCATATTTATTAACGGCCTAAGGACTGCCTAATTAAAAAGATTTCCTTAATTTATATTGTTACTCCTAATCAGTACTCAGAAACAATTATTGAAAAAACATGGTAAAAGCTTCAGCACACGTGTATTAATCATAATAATGCATTGTTATTAAATAGTTTTATTGTTTGGTTGAAAAACTAATGCGTATTTCCCACGCTTCTTCTACACAAGACAAGAAAAAAAAAAAGAATCAGTAATAGTATAAGAAAAAAAGAGCAGGCTATTCATTGCTCACGAAGCTGTTGCTAAGATGAGAGACGGTTTTGTCCGGTTATGGTACCTACCTTTGTAGCCACTTGTCTTGTACAGTACATTTTAGGTAACCTTATTGCTTCATCAATATGAACTAGGTGCTAACTATCCTTGCTCTAAGATTTATGAATTCCTTACTGGTGAAACGGCAGGGGAAGAGTTGTGAGAAGTGAGGAAGGACTTGTATGGAGAGCACAGGATGTTCATTCCCATTTCCGAACAGTATGTCACACGGATCGCACACTCTTGTAATATTAACAAAATGTTATAAGCTAGAATACAAAAGTAATTGATACGGAAACAATGAACGTCAGCTTAATTCTTGTTCAGGGAAAAATATAATCTTACAGGTCAATGCATTCAAATAACCTTTTGTTTTATTTATACAGTCACTTCTCCAGTTTTCAGATGGAAATGTTTCCTTTTATGAACCTTTACAACCAAAAAACCTTCTTACATTCTTGATTTGGTAACTGTTTGTCCCTCTGTCTATTCTTTACTGATATCCCAGCCCACAAACTTTTTTTTTTTTGTTCTTTTTTGGCTTTAAGAATTGTAAAAGCAAGTCCTGTTTTGCCTGTAAAATATTTCAATTGTCATAGTAAGATGAAATTACACTGGATTTATATTAATTATTTATAGTTAAATGGTCACTGAAAGTAACTTATATGGAACTTGCATATTAGATATAATATTATTAGATATTAGATATTATGGAAACTAGAAAGACTAAAAGTTAAAAACTGAGATGAATTAGAATCACAATTAACTGAGAATAAGAGGTGACTTTTATTATATGACTCCTTTTATGTCATTCATGAACTTTATCAAGTCACTGTTTATTCATCCACCGAATAATATAGCCCACAAACTGTAATATAGCCCACTAAGTTATATAGTGTAATATAGCCCACTAAGTTATATAGTGTAATATAGCCCACTAAGTTATATAGTGTAATATAGCCCACTTATAGTGTAATATAGCCCACAAACTTGTATATTCCTTGTCATAGAATTTTTTCCTTTAAAAAACCCTTTATAATGCTATCTTGTTTTGGAATTCAGCCTCCATACCCAAAACCTCATTTTTAACTTCATCATATTTAACATAAACACCAATTATTTTTTCAGCTCCTCAGCAATCAATATTTCAAATATATATAACAATTAAATTCTCTTATTTTAGTGTTATTTCAGTTATTATCTACAGGGCCAGTCTTAGAAATATGGTGCGCCCGGGCAATGTCACATCTCTCTCCTCTCAAAAAAATTATTAATTTTTTTAACTGTTTTAATGTGTAAAATTTGAATTTGGTTTCATTCAATATTTCTCTTATACAGTTGTAATCTATAATTTCATTTGTTTACTTATGCTTATCTTTTGTTTTAATCATAACTCTGTAATTTCATTACTTCTTGATTGTCATTTTGCACCAAACAAATGTCAATTCTATTGTTCATTTTCATTATTATTAAGGGACTAAATGTCGCATAATAAAATTTATTTTTTCTTAAAAAACAAAACGAAAACTCACCAATGCCTAGAATTTTGAATTATTCCTCATTCATCATTACAAACTTTGTTTAGTAGTGAATAGAAATATAAACAAGAGGATAAAAATAAGATACTTCACAATCATTTAAACTCTTTAAGTCGAAGGGACAAACTAATAACCTTTATAACTTGAGGAAACCAACTAGTTAACCCTAAAACTAAAATAATTTATTCAAGTTCTGTAGCATTTTAGTAAGCATATACCAGATAGGGTTTGTTATTACAAAAGTATTATTACATTAGTAATATAATGTAGGCTGAGCTATATAAAAAAATAAAAAAAAGATATATAATTCTTTTAAATAGACCATTGGCAGACAAGTGTTCGTTACCTGCTCAGGATTGAAAAGAGTCAGAGGTATGGACTTGAAGAGTATGATAGTGATGCTTCTAAAACCTTCTCAGACACAGATATAGCCACAAGTATCGCATAAAATTGACATCTGGGACCATCCACCAGGACCTTAGTACAAGCCAACTAACTGGACAAAATTCCATTTTAAAGTTTCGAAGGAACTCTTTTGAAATAAAAGCTTGACTATAGAAGTTCCGAAGAAATTTTTTTGCAATAAAGTCCTAGATTTATCATAAAAATATAACCTTTATTTATTTGAGTTCTTAAAAAAAGTTTTATTAAATATTGAGGGAAAAAAATTGTATTCATAGAACCTAGGAATAGGAAATAATATTTTGTTTGTTTGATTAGCTAAAAATGTTTTCAATTGCCATTTTTTAGATTTACTTCTTGGAGAAATGAATTGCTCGAACAAAACTTCTAAATAAAAGTTTTAATAATTAGTCTCTGTGTGTGTTGACACGACTAGCTCAAAAACGAAAAGTTGTATGGAAGTGAAATTGCATATTTAAGGTTTTTATATACTAAAAATGGATGTTACAGCAACTTTTTTGACAAAATCGGCTAACCGGAAGTGGCATTTAATATAATGGACTAAACACATTTTTATGATTATCTCAAAAACGGCTTGAACGATTTTGATTAAATTCACTTTATCAGTGTAAAATTAAGCAGTTTTAAATATAATGTAGTTTTTACTCTGATTAATGTTCTCTAACAGGGCTTAAATGGCTAATTTTCAATATTAGCTTCCTCTAAAGTACCTTTAATTTTTTTTACTTAAAACAATTAACCATTTCACATTAATCTGGAATATAAAAAATAGTTAAATATGAAATATGTAAGAATTCGATAATTAACTAAAGGAGAAATATGAGATCTTAACAGAGAATAGTTGTAATGAAGGAACTAAATGGATATGAGTGAGGCCAAGTTCACACGAGCTCGCTCGAAGATTAATACAGGCTTCCATACGTAACATGAGCTTAATAAAATATGGACTCTGATAATATTATATAAATATGCATAAGTGGTTTTCATTAATGCTATTGATGGTATTATTTAATATTTAATTGTATCGAATACAGCGATATAAAAACTAAAATTTTTTTATATAAGGGTATATAAAAAAATAAAAATACTCGCAATGAAATTAAAATAAATATAGCGTCTATAATTTTTACTTTCACTCCACCTTTATCTGAAAATACTTACTTCTGCTAAGTGAAAAAGTCATGTGACACGCACCAGATTTTTTTTTCTGTTTCAAGCCTTGGCCCTACTACTCCAAAGGGATGTTAATATAATATTATATATATCATTTCAATATTGTTAAATTATGTTGAAATAGTTTTTTGATAAACATTGAAAAAAAATATTTATGTTATTTTTGAAAATTTTGAAAACAATGGGGATTGAAATATTGAACCACAATATTAAACAAAAAAGTAATCGATAAAGCAATACTTAATGTAAATACATACTTATATATTTAGAATGCTGTAGTCATCTTAATTTATTGATTTATAAATTTAAACTTGTTAAATTATAAGAAAGATATGCTAGTTGTGAATATTTAAAGAAAATGCGACCAAAACAAAATGAAACATAAGACATTTACTACAAATATCAATTTAATTTAAAGAAAAAAACATTGCAAGTTAATGTTCCAAATTAGAAAAAAATATTGTAAAAATGACTACAAGAGTAAATTAAATAATGCTTCATACCGAACAGGAAATGCCAAACTAAATATGTCTACTGGCGGAGATGATAAAATAAACTCAGTAGGAAAGCAGTAATGAAATTACCAAAGAAACTCTGAATTTAATTTGTTCAATAACTAATCTAGTAAATACTGCTCAATGCCTAATAGATCTAAATCACTACCTCTTAGAAAAATATATTTTTAGATATTTATATATTTCTATATCATAAAACTTAGTTTGGTTTACAAGGTGCCTTAAAAACCAGGATAAGTTTTACACATAGTAAAATACGAGAACTTTGAACCTAGAGTAATAGTTTTAGGGAATTACTATAAAACTATAATTATATTATATATGATGAAAGTAATGTATCTATCACACTAACATGTCTTATTTATTCTGTATTTATAATTTGTTCTCAAGGCACAACAGTCCAAGGATAATAAAATTATTTATTTCATTTCATTCAAAGTAAAAACTAATGTAGTGACTTATTTTTGAAACAGTCAATATCAGAGGAGCACTATCTACCCTCAAGATGTGAAGTTCCCTATTTAAAATCTGAATAAGTTACATTTAAATCTTCTGTAATTTTATGTTACCAAAGCACATCAATGCATCTCAGCATTTTTGAGACAAAAGCGGCGTTGTTTTGAATCAATCTACAGGAGTTGACTATGTTGTGGCAGAACTACAAAATAATTTTCAAACTCTTTTACCAGGATACAGAGGTTGAAGTTGCTGGATAGCTTGCTTAGAATGGATAAACGAAGGATGGTATGAAGTGTGTACGAGGACTTTCATGTTGGAGTAAGGCCTAGAGATAGGTCAAAGGATGGATGTAGAGATAATTTTTTGAAACATCTTAGGAAGCTGATAATAAGTGTATCACATATACAAAACAAAATCAGATGGAACTTGGAGATTGAGCAGGCGAAGGATCACTTTAAGTATCTTTAGCACCAATAAAAAAATTCAAGATAGAAAATGTTGGTACTATTTCATAACAATCTGAATTTGATCAAGTTAATTTAAACATGTATAAATTTACAAGTTTACCATTGATCTATTTTTATTTCTTTAAAATTTATTATTTTAGAAAATAAAAGCATATGATGAAACATTAAATCCTATGTTTAGCTTGAATATGTTTAGCCTTCTCCTATAAGTAAAATTTCTATAGATTGAACAATACACATACAATATTCTTAACCTCTCTAAATATTTGTTTCCAGTATCTTACATCACAAGCATTAATCGACTTGTGCCAAAGTTCTCAGTATTTTAAATGAATCTAGAAGGAATAAGTAAATATAATACAAATATTGTTTTAAAAGAAATTATATTTACATTAACTTGTACATATACATTGCATTGGCATACCAACTAGCAGTCTATATTTTACAGTAAAATATCCAATATTTCAATTACTGTATAATACTTATTCAATAATACATGTTCATATTTTTTAAAAAAATAGATAAAGTTGGTGATCATTACTTTTCAATCAAATTTGATAATCCTTTTCTAATTTAACCCATTCAACGCTTTTTTCCCAAAGCTCCTTTGCCATATTTGGATCCTTACTTTTGGCAGACGTTGTACCAACAGCACAATCACTGAAAAAAAATATATATATAGTTACAATTTTAGTATTTGTGAACTAAAGTACAGTTGTTTATATCTAAACAATATTTTATTAGGTGCATAGGGATCTGTTCCAACCAACCCCCCAGGACTGCTTGCTGGAACAGACCCAATATATAGCAACAACAAAAAAAAAAGAATTGGTAAAGATACTATTATACACTACTTCAAAGAGCTACATTTTTTTTTTATCCTAACAAGGTTGTCATTAATCTTTTTTAGCATGACAAAGAAAGTTTAAGAAATGCTTTATTAAGGTGTCATTAACCTATATTATAAACTCAGTCAATATATTACAAATTCAAAGTCACTGCATGGAAGAGTAACACTAATTTTGCAGCACTGTGCAGTCTCAATAATTCAAAATAACTGCTGTAAGGGAATGTTTAGATTATAGAGAGTACTGAGAAATCTGTATTTAATAAAAGTTAAAACTTAATATGTGTAATTCAACTTATTTTATTTTGAAAAATTTCTTAGAGTATTTATTTATTATTTTCATGTAATAGTTTTTGTTGTTTTTCCTTTATCTCAAAAGCTTTATGGTTTTATAAATGATTCTAGAATATAATTATTATTTAAATTATTTTGTACACATAATTTTACTATTTTTTTTTTTTTAAATATACATTACTTCATGTCATAATGATAAATTACATGTTACTAATTGTATAAAAGTTTAATTACTCATAATATAATCCAGATTCCACACTGTCTTCAAGGGCACAATATAGAGTTGTTTGAGCTCCTTGTTTGGGAGTTTTCATCAGCCACCATCCCAAGTTTGTATAAAGCCAATATGCACCAGGAAAAAAAGAGTCACTAAGATGCCGTGGTAATTCTGTGTTCACAATACCTGGATGCAAACTGACAGCAGTAACTCCTGTATCTGGAATTATTTCAGAAATTATCATGATTCAATATATCTGTCACGGAAGTTCATAAACCGATTAGTAGCACGTAACACACTTTAAATTCAGAAAAGGTGAATAACACAAAACCTTTCAAGCGTCTAGCAAGCTCATTCGTGAACAATATGTTGGCAAGTTTGCTTCTTGTATAGCCACCAATGGAGCTGTACGATCTTTCATAATTAAAGTCATCATACCTCATTGAGGAACCTATAAGAATTCAATGATAATTAGATTAGGTAGAACTAAAAATATGATAAACAGATCTTTAATAAACTTTGGTCTATTTTTATTAACAAACTGAAACTTATATGAATCGACAGTAGATTTTAATATTAGAACAGCACTCTCACTCAATCTCCACTGGCTTTAGCATCAGTGAGGTGTTTGAGAGAGTAACACAGGGAGTCCTGCTTTTCTCTCTATAATTAGAGAAATTATTATGAAGAAATTAACTCTGTCAAAATTTTTCTTCCTGGAAAATTCAAAAACCTGTCAAAATATGCTCCCATCATTTTGTGGGCACCCTTGCCGAAAAGAGCATGGAGCAATGGAAAGATTGGCACTCAATTAGAATCCCCAAGGAGCAAGCCATAAAGGAAGACCTCGCATCACATGGAAGAGATCTGCGTTTAATGAGGCAGAGCATGCAGGGAAGATTTGGAATGAGGTAAAGGCTCTGACTGGAGATAGGATTGGATGGAGGTCGTTTGTTGAGGCTCTTGGTTCCACTGAGAGGAGTTGGGTAAAGTAAGTAAGTTGTTGCCTAACTTTATATCCATCACTCAAACTGTACCATATCCTCCATATTCACCTAACTTTTCTTCAACTGATAACAATTTTGAGAGTCCTCTCCACATTTAAAAAACAAAATATTCCAAAATGAAGAAGAAGCCAAAAAGTTTCTTCAAACAAGAGATACAAATCTTATGTTATCCGTTGGATGAAATGTATTAAAATCAGCAAAAGTCATTTTAAATAAAATTAGCTTCAATTTTTTGTGTTTTTTTTTAGTTGCCTCATACTCTAGGAACTGACTGTTTATATTTATATTCCAATCTAATACACATCAATGCTAAACCTCATAATTAATTTTAAAACTTATATTTTGGAAATTACATGAATAAATGGTTTTTAAATGAATAAAATTGTTTAGTTGAAATTTTATTGAAATAATGCTGAAGCCTGCTATTGTTTTTTCCTTTTATCTAGAGAATAGTAAGTTGTATATCTATAAATAAATCCTTCAAATTAATTTTAAAATTTTAGATCAGTTAAATAATTTAATGTTTGTAATACTTACTCAATCGATGACCAATTGAAGATACATTAATAATTCGAGATGGTGCACATTTGCGAAGTAAAGGTAATAGTAACAGCGTCAACAGAAAGTGACCCAGGTGGTTTGTTGCTATGTGCATTTCGAAACCATCTTTCGATAACTCCCAAGGGTGAAACATTACCCCTAAAATAAAAATAATAATACAGTATTCTTCTGCTTGACAAAGACACAATGGAATCTAAGAGGTATTATTATTTAATTTTTTATTAATTATTGACAGTTTACTTAATATATTTTTCAAAATTAGTTAAATTCTTATTTCATTCTAAAGATAAGGTGAGGTCCAGAAACTTTAACTATTTAAATTAATAGTTGATAAATAATCAGGAAGCAGTAATTTTAAGATTTTTGTTGGTGCCGACGTTTCACCAAAGTATGTGGGTCATCATTAAGGCATCTCCACTACAGTGGTGAAGACAAAGATGATTAACTACATACTTGAGTTGAAATGTCGGCAACAATAAAAATCTTAAAATTACTGTTCCTTGATTATTTATCAACTATGAATGTTGAACAGTCGACTAACTTCCTTCAACTATTGAAATTAATATTAATCTAAATTAACAAGTACATTAATTCACTAAAAAACAAAATTACTTTACTTGTTAACCAATAATTTAATTATGCTAAGGACAGACAATATTAATAACAATTAATAAATACTTATATTTTGTTTTTCTATAATAGTGATATACATTTTTTTTTTCATATTACTTTATTTTATTGGAAAATGTTTTGACCACACTATGAAGAACATGTTCATGGCTATGATGACATGATGAAAGATGTGAAACAAAAGTGACAATAATAATTATTATATTGATAATAACAAAGACATTATAACATTAAGTAATATTTAAGACATATACAAAACCATAAACATTGTTATTTTAATATTTCATTAAATTTATTTTTAGATTCAATTTCATTTACTTGACAAACAAAAATAAGATCTGATTGTACAGACGGCATAAATTTTGGTCATTGAAATAGCAGCTTTGGAATTTTAAATTATTTCTTAATTTTTGCTTCAATCAACTTCTAACAACAGGACAACAGATTTATTGGTACTAATCAAAGATTCCACTAATAGGCATAATTAGCCTTGATTGAATAAATTGAAACTTCCGGTTTGAGTGATTATTTAATAAAACCAAGCAATCAAACACGAATATATTAACAAACATTTCACATTTAATAACCTGTTTTATTTAAAATTATGCTCAATGAAAATATTAATAATAATAATAATCGAAATAAGAGAAAATACTGTTTGTTAAAAAAATAATAAAAGCCAGGGATAAATTTTAATAATAGGTTTATAAACCCGAAATGAAATCAACGATTTACAATTTTTCTCCTCCAATTATTCAATGAATCAATAACACTTGAAATGAAATTAAACGATTGAAATAACCATGATCCTCATACCAAAGAACATACGAAGATGGAAAACAACATGCCAGTGAAGAGGAATTTTGTTTTTCTTTATGTCAAAATAGGTATTTAATAACAGCATTTTATATAATTACTATATTTAAATTTGATGGAAACCTATATATATATATATATATATATATATATATATATATATATATATATATATATATATATATATATATGAGATATAGATAGATATATGGATAAATATAAATATATACTCTTGGTGGAACCTGACCACTAGGGAGCGCGTCCCCCGGGTGGCGGATGGAGGAGTGGTCTAAATATACTGAATAAAGACCTGTGGTCCAACAGGTACCCAGTGCTGGGGGGTATAGCCCAGCCACCCTTCCTCCTGAGGGGATATAAATATTAAGGAGGCCAGTTGTCCCGAGGATAAGGGGCCTCCAGCACTGGACAAATCACCCGTCTGGAGGAAGCAGGGACCGGGAAGAGTGGTTATGCTATATTGAGGCTCCTCGACGCTAACTAATGGCATAAGAGGAAGACAAAGAAGAAGAAGAAGAAGAAAAAAAAAATAGATATCTAGCCAAAGGGAAAGAGATAATTATTTTTTGTTTACAAGGTACAAGGACTTTTTATACATTCTAATAAAGGATTGTTAATATAGTTTATAAATATTACTCACTACAAGCTCTTATTCCTGATGAAAAATTTAGAGGGTGGCAAATTTCAAGAAATATTATTTTTTACAACAGCTTAAGAAAAAAATTTGTTTATACTTCCTGAGTGTTTCAAGTTTAGTCAATAAAATTAGTTAATATCGTGAGATATTTACTTTGAATATATTACTTGAAATATTATTGTAATATGCTGACTTTCATTGAGAAGAGGTGAGGTGCTAAATGTAGGAATGAGAAGAAAAATGAATTTTTCTAGCAAAAATCCTAATTCCAGCTCTGCTATTGCAGTATAACTGTCGGTAAACTATAACTAATCCGATCAAATTAGACAGACCTTGGATCACTTGTAGAAATGGTTCCCAATGTTTTAGAACTTTGCTCTTTTGTTCAAGAGTAAGAGCGGACCAAAACAAATAAGAGGCTAACATGAAAAGTTTAAAACCAAAGTCACCATTAAATATAACAAGGAAAAACCTAAAAGAGCCATAGTTATATTTTAGTGATTTTTTTTTTAATATAGATTATTGAATAATTGAATAACCAATACAATATCATATATAAGTTTATGTAAATAATATATTCATAAATCAAAACTTAAAAGAAAATATTTCATTTACATATATATGCAACACATTAAGTCATAATAATAATGACATGATTGCGGTCACAATTATCTTACAGTTGTTATAATAGTGGTTTGATTGCTATTTAGTATTGAGAAATCTTTTTTTATACAGTAGGAAAGAGTGTTCATAAATAATTCACATGTAATTAGCAAGGATTTTAATTAATGAGAACAATGTGGTTACGTTTCTATTTTAATGTCAGCTATATTTTAAATATTTTCCATGATAAAACTGGCAATATAATAGATTACAACCTACCAGGGCTGTCCCTTCAGGTAAATAGTATATACTTTCACAAACCAGGAATATAGAAATTTAGGCATTTTCGTCGCAACTACACCACAAATAGGGCCTTGAACTACAACTCATTCATTTTATGCTCACTTTTATTTTTCCATACTTAGTGTTTACTACTTTCTTGAAATTTATTTCAGTAGTCATGAGCTCTATTTTTTCGTATGATATTTGTAAACCTGATTTTCCTGCTATTATTTATAGGGTATTTATTTGACTAATAGCCTCTTCTTTTGATTCTAACAAAAGCGCGAGATAGCCTACAAACGCCAAACAATTCACTTTTATATGATTGCTTTTGTTCCCTTATATAGCTCCTGAGCTATTTTTTCCCAGAATTCCTTCATGATTCTATCCAGGACTATGTTGAAAAGTATGGGAAACAAGCTGTCGCCTTGTCATGGCTCTCTTTTTATCTGAAAAAGTTTGCTTATAACACCCTGAAACTTCAGTTTAGATCATATATCTGTCAGAGCCAGTTTTATCAGATTTATGGTTTTCTGGTCTATTCCATATTCTTTCAGGATTTCCAATAAGGTTTCTCTATCTACGGAATCGTAGGCCTTTTTAAAGTCAACAAAGGAAATGTAAATATCTTTCCTTCTGGTACTGTAGTATTTTATGAGCAATTTAAGGCTTAGAATTTGCTCCTAACAGGACCTTACGTTTCTAAATTCCCTTGGTACTCTCTATTTTGTGATCTATTTGTGGTTCCAGTCTATTCAGCAGAACTTTAGAATTTAATTTATAATATTAAAAACATTTTCCTTGCAGTTTTGTTTTTAATTCAATAAATTTCAAAATAGTCGATTTGTTGAGCAATCGACATTTTATCTATCTATAGCATCTTAATGTATTGTAAATACCCTCTTGTTGAATGTCGTCGCGTTGTTCTACTTCTTACGTCGGCTTCGGAAGCCCTTCTCTACCTCATTCTTAACATGTTCAATAGAATCGAGGTCGGGGCTGGTCATTCCCCGAGCTGAGACACTACCTCTTCGGAAGCTTATTCAGTATTTAATATTTTTTTTGGGAGGGAGAAGAGTTATTTTTATATAGCGGTAATTACTCTGAAAGAAAAATGAAGAAACTATATTAAGCGATGTTCAAGTGGTGCATGAATGCCATAAAAAAAGGATAAAAGAACATAATTCCAGGAACAGTGATTTTTATAAAAACTTTTTTTATATATATTTCTTGACACTAGCTTGCATTTAATAGCTATAGGCACATCCCTGATAATTTAAAAAGAAGACACGTTTAATTACCTCACTCAAAGAAACAAGTAACCAAAATTGGGTCAAATGTAGACCCAATAAAAAAATATATATCGATTATTTTATCAGACATTAAACATAATTGAAACTTAATATGGTCACTACAGGAAAAAAAACTTAGGTGTGTTCTTTAAACCTCGCGATAGAAGTGAAAACATCAACAAGACGAAATTAATAAAATGAAATATAAATTATAAATAATAGCTCATTACATGGGGGATGAATTGCTGAACATGCCCCTCGCTTATAGTATTTTTAGTTTTTGAAATATTTTAATCCATATGCAAAAACATTTTAATTAGTAGACAGAAATTAGTAGAATAAATAGATTAATAGAAAAATTAGTAGAATGAACAGCTGCGTAAGATGTCTCTCACCACTACAATGAGTTAAGAGACTTTTCCCCTCCTTCCGAAGACAATATTTCCTATTTATGTTCCTCTACCAAATCATCAACAACCATCGTCCTTCTTACGACTATAACCTTCTCCATTTCAAATTCTCAGTCCATTCCCTGTCTACAAGATCTCGACCTTCTAACCTTTACATGCCTTCTCACAGATACAGCCTCATTCCAAAACTCCTTTATTGCTCGCTCTATCAATTTCTGTAATTCCCTCCTTATCAAAATTCAACATTCCCCATCCGTATCTACATTCAAAACCGTATTCCAATTTCTATCCCCAAAAAAGTCAGATAGTTGCTAACCAATCGACAACATACATTTGTTTCCTGCCATTCATTGCCAAATATCAATGTTCTTATAGGGTAAAGATTTCCATATTCTTGATATCACGCGTCTATTGGTAGTTCATAACTATTATCTTTTATACACCACTAAATTCTTGCCTATTCTCATGTTAAGAACTGATGGTGATGTATTTATACATTAATCAACAGTTAAATGATAATGTATTTATATATTAATCTGGCACTTCATATTATCAGGTTCAGCTTTCTGTTTTCTCAACAGAAATACAAAGCTTATTTTAATGAAGAATTTAGTATATTTTTAAAGGAAGGAGATGGTCCGGGATGGCGGTCATAAAAAGGTTAAATAGTGGCAAAACTATTTTATTAAAAGCCAACGTTTCGACCCGACTTTGCAGGTCTTTTCAGGGATAGAACGGACAAGATACAAAAAGATGTAGAATCTATATCTTTCATAGAATCTATCGTTCTAGCCCTGAAGAAGACCTGCAAAGTCGGGTCGAAACGTTGGCATTTAATAAAATAGTTTGGCATTATTTGGTCTTTTTAGACAGCCATCCCGGACCATCTCCTTCCTTTATAATGCAACGGTCAACTGTTAAATATTTAACATATTTTTTAATTCTTTATTGTTTTCTTAAGAGTGTATACTGGTCTATCAGTACAAATACCTTTAAGTGTCTTCTCATAGTGTTAATTGTTTTTTATATAGTTTCGTTTGTTTTATATATAGAATGTTTAGCTTATATTATCTTTACATTATTTCTTTTTTTCTATTGATTTTATTTTGTCCAGATCTAATCTTTTAATTTTGTTCTATTTTGTTATTCTCAAGGGACTGTGTCCCAGAATAAAGTTATTTTCTATCTATCTATCTATCTAGATTTCAGCCGATTTCACCCGAGCGTTAGACATCGGAGATCTGACTGCTCAATCTAATTCAATCTACACAAAAAAAGTGCACAACGCGGCTAAAGAAGTTTTCACTTCAAAAAAGGTTGGTAGAGGTCCGGATATTTAATTTTAGGTACATAATACAATTTCTTGGAAACGTCAATTTTTAACTAATTATTTTTATTTAATTTTTCCCTAAGGCTCGCCACACCCATCAAATTATTTTTCATAACCTTAATATTATAATTATAACGCGATGGAATTGAAATATAAGTTACCAGCATTATTGATGAGTATGTGGAGGCTATCGTAGGATGCCAAGAAATCTTTGGAGAAAGTCCGGACAGATTCCAGAGAGGACAGGTCCAAATGCATAACCTTCAACTTGGCCTCTGGAACGCGCTTTCGGATGTCTGCTTCCGCTTCTTTCGCTTTTTCCAGATTTCGGCAAGCCATTATCACCTCAGCCCCTGGAAAATATAATACATAATTATACCTAATCTTATTACTACAGAACAGACCTGGGCAGTATTTCAAATAAATATTTTATATTTTAAGAAAATTGGAGAATAAAAATAAATTCCAACAAATCCCATCAAATCACCTTTACCCTCCGTCGTAAACCTATGACTTCTTGTCCTACAGTATCCTTCAACAATACTCCACTTGTTCCTGTTGAGCAAATCCGCTACTTAGGACTCCACTTGGATGAACGTCTTACTTGGAATCCTCATACTAGACTGAAACGACAAGAAACTGCTCGACGTTTCCGACTGCTCCAACTCTTACTAGACAAACGCTCTAAGCTTTCAATTAATTACAAAAGACTTATCTACATAACTATAATAAGACCTATAGGGACATACGGAGTTGAGCTTTGGGACTCCATAAAACCATCGAATTCCTATCGTATCCAATCCTTACAATCCAAAATCCTCCGTAAAATCCTTAATGTTCCATACTTTGTCACAAATAAAACCATTCATAAAGACCTTAATGTACCATATGTCGCTGATTTAGCTCGATCCAGATATCTATGTCCCATCCAAATCCACTTGTTTCCACTCTTGCTTCTTCCTCGATCCCTGGATAATCCTCCTAGGCGTCTGAAAAGGAGATAGCCTCGTGATCTTCTTACTTAAAATTATTTAGGGAGTGCTACCACTGGGTACTATCTCTTCAATCCTGTACATGTCATTATTTATAATTTGCGCATATTTACTAGTTGTATTTGTAAACAGTTGTAAATTTCATTAAATAAACAAAAAAAAAATTTAAGACGTAAAATAGATTGTTTGTAACTTTATTTTCTTTTTAAAATATAAAATTCACAAGAAGTATTTGTATTTTCTATCAAAGATACTAAGAATCAAAAGTATTTTTTTGATGTTTTAGTCTAGGTCTTTGTTTTTGAACTACGTTTGGTGTGTTGAAAAAAAATTTTAAAAAAGAAAACGAGTTATTGTGTCATTGAAATATAAATTTTTTAATAATTTTCCGCAACATAGAAGTTAAACAATATTGGATTTATTTTATACTATCCGTATTAACCGACTCTCCCGCTTAACTGGCGATGTCTCGGTCCCGACTAGGACGGATAAGAGGGAGTTTACTGTATTATAAAGTTTTTATTACTTATTTTTCTGTGATATAGAATGCATTTTAATAAATTTATTAGCGAAATACACTTTCTGTTTATAAAAAAAAAATCTTCTTTATCATCTAAAGTGATAATGCACCAGTGATTTTTATACAGAACACTATAATGGAAGTTGATCCTTATTGGATTAATTGATCAACTAAATTTTCCTGGACCTAATATTTACATCTGTTTGAAAATAATTTAAGCAATTGATGGGTTTATTATTATAGTCCATAATTATAAACAATGTCCTGACGCCTTTTATATAAATATAAACACCCACTCAGCCAACTGTTAAAAAATTTACTTATTGTTGAAAAACATAGGTATGATTCGATAAGCCTATCTAAAATTAAATAATATATGTATAATTAAAAAAAAAATTGAGAATGACTGTTTGAGGATAGAATGTATAATGTATTATTTATATAATTTTGAGGGGGAGGATGAAAATTCCTTCAAACACAAATATTATAAAAATTAATAAATAACAATCTACGAATTTAGAGTAATTATTTATTAAATTGGACCTACAGACAAAAGATAAGGAGAGAATAAAAAAAAAAATTATTTAATATTTTTTCAATTCACATCTTGTGACTTCGAATCTATGTTCTCAAGACATCGCATTAGTTGCCTTGGCGTTAACGACGCCTATGAAGAAAGCAGTGATATTTTGAACAGTTCTAAAAATAGAGAATTCCAATCCAGCGATAACAGCCCAGTTTGGAATTTGGAACAAGGATGAAAACTTTCAATAATCCGATATATAATTTAGTTTTTACAAATAATTTCTTTTCTTATAAATGTGGAATAACCTACTAAAATAAATTAATATCAATGATTAATTAATAAAATAATAATTTAATTTAAAAATTAATCCGACAACAATAATAACCATGGTCCCTGGCATTGACCCCTTTTTATCAAGTAATCAGCATCAGCCTAAAGGTCGTGAATGGTTTTATCTTATCGTAACCTACAATTTTTTATCTACGAAAATTCTGAAAAATCGGCCGTTTCAAATTAAATCAATTAATTTAATGAGTTGCTAAAAACTCATTAATACCCATTTCCTTTCCAAATGAATCTAAAAAAAAATTATTATAAAATAGAAAAAAAAGGTGGCCTACAAAAATATTGGCCTATATAACCTCATAATTTTGAGTTAAAGGTCACGCCAAACAGCCCAACCTTTTTTCTAAATTTTGTGACCAAATTATCTTACGATTCAAGTAGAAAAAATGAATGTATATGAGTTTTTAGTAGCTAATTAAACAAACAAAGTTTGTCGCACTCCATATTGAGAACGGCCCAATCCCGAGAATTTTCGTAAATAAAATATTTGTAGGTTACGATGAGATTAAACTATTCAATTTACTATCAATCAACTATTCAAACTATTCTATTTAAAGTTTTAGGCGGATGTTAATAATTTGTTAAAAAGTGGTGAGTACCACGGACTACCATAATCATCTTAAGGGAATGAACTTGTACATATACGTAACTATCTTTGTAGATTCTTATGGAAATTGTCGTCAACGAATATTTAAATTCTTAAATGTGTAGCAGTCAGAGAATACGGGTTTTTTAATTTAAGAGGGGGGGCAATTTTCAACAGGGTTATAAATATTCGGCCTAAGAGACAAAGGGAAAAACACGGAACATACCGCAGCAAGTGTGATTTATATGATCTACGATTTTTTTAATTCTACCTTAGCTTGCTCTGTTTTTAAGAAGAGGTGAGCAATAAAATATCTTGGGAGGAGGTGGGGATGTAGGTTCTTGCGCCATCGGCCTTCGGGGAGGAATGGGTATCCGTGGGTTGAGCCATGACCTAAAATAAAATGGTTACATACCTCTTAGCGGATTAATTAGAAACATTTTATACAATAACTTGCTGGTGTCTTGGATTCAAAACACTCACGGGATCTCAAAGAATAATTTGAGCCAACTACCTTAAAAATTTGTCCAACTGTTCACGTAAATACATTTTAGGGGACAACCCAAACCCATTCTCCGTGTTGCAGTTGTTCAATTACATTGTTATAATTAGTTATTGTGCTTTTCGATTGGCTGTTATATACAAACATCAGATTATTATTTGGTAGTATTTGTAAATTATAGAAAATAAACTACTTAAGGGTGCATAATATGGTTGAATATCCTAAAAGCTTTGAATACTTACCTCTCCTCGAAAGATCCAGCGCAGTGTATTTCCCAATCCCAGTGTTGCTTCCAGTAACGATTACGACTTTCCCATCCAATCTTTTTGTACTGTGACATTTTCCATTCGTGATCCACCCCATCTAAAACAAAAAATATAATATAATAATAATAAATAAATGAATTAAAAATGTTATTATTAATTAAAAATTAAATATGCTATTAATCAATAGCTTTACCAGCTCAAAATTGACGTAATTAATTAATTTCAAAATAATATATATAATAATATATATATTCAATATATAAAATACCACCTATATATTATATAATAGTATGTTTATTGCATTGTTTATTGCTTCTTCTGCAATTAGAATCTACGGCCAACCATCTCTACTCCATTTTAATCAATTTGTTTCTGCTTTTTTTTTATTTTTTTTTTCCACGTTAGATGGGAGGTAGCTGCCCACCTCTCATTAATCACCTTTGGACATGCCCATAAAACATTGCTAAAGCACATAAAAATTAATTAAAACATCAATCCATAAATTTTAGTACATTTTTTTTTTAATTGAAGATTTATACCAGACTGAAACGACAAGAAACCGCTAGACGTTTCCGATTACTTCAGCACTTACTAGGCAAACGCTCTAAACTTCTAATTAATTACATAAAGACTCACATAAATGACTACAATAAGGCCTATTTGGACTTACGGAGTTGAGCTATGGGGCTCCACTAAACTATCGAATTCCTCTCGTTTCCAATCTTTACCATCCAAAATCCTTCGTAAAATCCTCAATGCTCCCTACTTTGTTCCAAATAAAACCATCCATAATGGCCTTAATGTTTCTTACGTTACAGCTCTGGCCCAATCCAGATACCTATCCTTCCATAATAAATTTCAGAACCATCCGAATCCTCTCGTTTCCTCTTCTTCTTCAATTCCTGATAACCCTCCCAGGCGTCTGAAAAGAATATGGCCTTGTGATCTCCTAATGTAGACATGTTATTAGAATGCAACCATTGGATAGTTTCTCAACAAGTGTTTTCACGTCATTATATCCATATGTTCAAATATACTAAATGTACGACTTTTATACAGTTGTAAATATCATTAAGAAATAAAAAAAAATAAAATAAAAAAATTTAAGATTTCAAAATTGTTTGATCTTTTTACTAAAAGTGGTGTAAACCGTTTTCGCATTAAACTGTCTATTAATTTCATGCTTTTCAATATTGTCTTAGGCTTAATACTTTTTCAACGCAGTAAAATCTATTATTACTCCATTCTTATTTTTTTTTTTTTAAGACTTGGTAATTCCTGTTTCCTTAACAATGGCTCCAAGGCTCCACATCAAATTCAGTTAATAAATAACATGAATGAAAATAACTAATTGGCACGTGCGAATAATTCACATTGAATGAATGGTAATAATACAGTCGGTGTCATAGAAATTGCATCACCTATTTCTTTTGATCTTGGTAACGTTGATTCCGTTAGATGTTTTTGATTTTTTCCTTACTTATTTAGATTACAAGAAAACTGAAACAATGTTTCTCTATTCAATTTTAACTATCGCCAGGATAAAATCTCTAATTATGCTCAGTTTCAAACAACTGTTCTCGTCAGAAAATATCAAAATTGTGACGTTACGTGAAGTGAAGGACATTTCCCTGAGAAATAGGAAAGAAGATAGAATACTACCAATCAACGGAAGTCATAGAATATTCAATATATTATAAAATAGATGCAATACTATCATAGTAAAACTCATATCGTCTGGTTATCGAAAAAAGTTACTCGGTACCACTAACGGATCCAGGATTTAATTTTGGGGGCCTGAATATTGTTTATTTTTTTTTTTTTTTTTTTTTTGTATCTATATATTAGGATAATTACGTCGAAAGAAAGAAAGGAACTAACTACCTACATGAAATGGTGTTTAAGGGATTCCTAAGTTCTGTTAAATCTAATTAGACGAACAATAATATTTTTAGAGGTAATTTTTTTCATAAAACATGGTTATATTTTACCGTTTCGGGGGGGGCAGGGGGAGAGGGAGCTTCAGACCGAAAGCCCACCCCCTGTAGATCCGCCTGTGTCACCAGGTACATTTTTGATAGAACTGATACTTGATAGAACACTTACTTGTTTTAGTGAGTTTTGCCCTAATTTATTGATAAAAAACACAGTCAGTGCACTAAAATGAAACAAAACCTGTGATATACCAAATATTACAAGAATACAATTTTGCAAAGAGAAAATTGATCAAAGTTCTTAGTGATTTAAGGTTATGAAAAGTTACTTAACGACTTTTTTGCAAAAAAAAAAAAAAAAAACCTACGATATATTTGTTGATCATCTCAAACATTTTATTTCGATATCGTTTTAATCGATGTTTTTAATCCAATATTATACAAATATCGATACCAGAGACCGATTCTTATTATATTCTTATTTGACGACCAAATAAAAAACACAATAATTGATACACATCAATATATAATTGATGCAGTCTAAAATATAGAAATAGAAATAGAAATAGAAAATCATCTTCATTCTGGGACTTGGTCCCTTGAAAATAACAATATTGTTTAAACCAATTGACAATAAATCTGGCCAGATGACCTATTATAATAAAGAGTAACTAGAATCTAAGTAATAAAATGAGTATATACATAGTTTTGGAGTGTATATTAAGGAAAGCAGATGGGTACAACGGTTACAATATTATAATATCGATAAGGAATATTCGAACTTACTCGGTATCACAACAACCCCTGAGTTTTTCAATTAATGATATATTTGATAAGTACCTCAAAAAATTTCATTCCGATATCGATATATTTATTTCGATATAATAATAATATCGATACCACGGACCGATATCGCAATAACCTTAAACGTTGTTATTTTTGTATTCTTTTCGTCTAATAACTTACCAAACAGCCTGATGTCTTGAATGTCCTTAATGTCTCAGAAGAACTAGAGGTGTTTTGGAATAAAAGTGGACAAAAACAAAAAATTGTTAGACCATTGTTTTGTTCCTTGCCATAAAAGCAAGAAGGAGGAAATAAAATTTAAACTCCTTGGTACAGACCACTTTTTAACAAATTATTAACATCCGTCTGAAGCTTCGTAAATAGCTTCATCTCATCGCAACCTACCTTTATTTGCGAAAATTCTCAGAATTGTTATCGGCACACATTGTTTATTCATACTAAAAACTCATGAATACCCATTTGTTTTCCACTTGAATCGTATATTATATGATCACAAAATCGAAAAAAAAAAGATTGACTACAAAAATATTCTAACGTTTGGCCTGTATAACCTTGTTATTTTAACTTGTTAAGGGTGGAGGTCACGCCAAATGGACATGTATTTGTTTTAGGCAACCTTTTTTTGTTCTCCTTTTGGATCATATTATCTTTCGATTCAAGTGAGTAAGTAAAAGGGGGCGGGGTGGCCGAATAGGCTAAAGCGTGTGCACAGCACCGCTTGTTGCCTGGCAACCGGATAACAGATTTGAGATGATATAAAAAATACGAGTTCGCGTCCCGGTGCCGGAGGGGATTTTAAATTCCCCGCCCTCACCCCCCGGCCCGGGAAAATCTCGTATAGCCTGAAAGGCGAGGTAGGGAAGAACAAGAAAAAAATAAAAAAATAAAAAGTGAGTAAGTAAATGGGTATTCATGAGTTTTTAGTACCTAATTTTTTTATTTTTTTTTAAACAGTTTATTGATAAATATTACAATCTGTCTCAGTTAAGGACACTTTTAATAGAGTTCAGAGAGTACATTCATACAGTATATACAGAAATATAAATAAATAAAGTAATAACAAACGAATAAGAAAAAAAAAAAGAACAAAAGATCTTTGATACAAGCATACCTATATACACTATTTACAATCAGCCAGGTTATTTCCGAACCAATCTTGTCTCCCCTCCCACATATGGAGAGAAAAGCGAGGCTTAGGAGATCCCTACGCATCTCCCTCAGCCACTTCACTGGTATTTAAAACCAGCGGAGGATGAGTAAGAGCGCAACAGCCAAAGACACTCATGACTTGAGTGGAGAATCTGGCCATTGATAGATCTCCAAAATATCCATATTTACAAAAAGTCTCGTAGCCTCTGCCGCTTTAACCAACGAACGGGATTGTAGGGATGGGTGGTGCTTGTACAACGGGATTTGGGTGATGAAAAAGATTATGGTAAAATTTGGAAATTTGGCTGGGATAAGATCAAGAATAAATGGGATATTAAGGTCATTATGCAGGGTTTTATTGGTTACATATAAGGGAGCATCGACTATTTAGTACCTAATTAAATAGACAAAGTTTGCCGATTGCTAGATTGAAAATGCACCAATTCCCACAATTCTCGTAAATAAAATATTTGTTACGATCAGATGTAGTTATTATTTAGATATAGTCAGGCGGATGTTAGTAATTTGATAACCACGGGTTTGTACCAGGGACTGTTATTATGTGGCTGTTGATAATATGGGAATGTATAGCTGTTTTGACCATGAACACAAAGGGTTCGATGGGATAGACCTTAGTCATATTTTGCGTGCTGTTTATTAAGGAGGTAAACGTCCTTAGGAATAGGAGCAGAAAGAACTGGGTGGCCTACATATTAACAAACCATTATAGCCAAAAAGAGAACTTGATTCGTCGGTCCTCCACGAAATAAATTTCAATCTTCAACCTCCCTAGTACCTCATACTTTCAAATGTATCATTCATTCCAAAGAGGTAGGCGAACTGACCTTAAAAAAAAAAGAAAGTAAATTCCTCGACATGACTTGATTATTAAGCCTTCGGGAGATTTATCGGTAGTGACATTATTCAAGAGCAGTTGTCACAAAACTAGGCAACGCGAGATGAATCCAACCAGCCATAGTTTATTTTGTTGGCATAAGAAGATTTAAAATGTAAATAGACCACACAAAATAAAAATTTTATATTCTCATTTGACGACCAAATAAAAAACACAATAATTGATACACATAATGAATTTGAACAGTTGTATTGTAATAAATGATAAGAGAATGTAAAAATATCATGCTTTAGAAAAAAAAAAAAAAAAAAAAAAAAATATATATATATATATATATATATATATATATAT